CCCCCCAGCCCCTTCACCACTTCTCCGCCATCGCTTCCCCCAGGTCTCCGAGCGGTACCGGCACCAGGAGACAGGCACGCTGCCGCCCCACATCTTCGCCGTGGCCAGCCGGGCCTACCACGCCATGCTGGGCCACCGGGGCGGCGGGCCCCGGAGCCCGTGCATCGTCATCAGGTGAGGTCTGGGTGGGTGGCCAGGCCAGGCTGGGGACTCGCTCGGGGTCCGGTGGTGGCCAGCGAGCTCTCGCTGGGCTCTCCCTGCTGAAGTTTCAGGCGAAGCTCATCTCCCATGCTGTTGGTGTGTCAAAATCCAGCTGCGTTTGCAACGCATCGCTCTTCCCGACCTGTCCACTTTCCAGACAGGAGAGCAGGCAGATCGCGAACGGAGGTGCGTGGCAAACAAAGCTGACTTTTGTGGAGCAGCTCGTCTGCCGATGCTGGTAACGCAGCTAAATATGTCGGGTTTGCTTCTGGAGGGATGTGGCACTGGAAAGATTGAATCAGTTCTGGGGAAAGCCATAGGGTGCTCTTCCCATAACTCCCACCATAACTGCTGCAACAAAGGTTATACATAGTGAAAGGAACCTGTTTTCCCAAAGTGGAGCTTCCCATGTATAACCAAAGAGCAGGAAAAAGAAAAACAGAAGCTTTTTTACCGTAAGACCTTTGGGAATCTGGTCAGGGAAAATCTTATTGTCATGGGCAGTTCTGTGCACTAGAAGGGAAAAATACGCGCTCTTGTAATCGAAGAGCGTACCAGTGTCACGAGCATTTCACTCCGTGATGTCACTATTGTTCTGGTGAAACTGTGCAGGGCAGCAGATAGCATCAACTAGCAGAGAGAGCCTCAAAGAGCATCGAGGAGAAAGCCTCAAAACATTACCTGCCTGTTCTGGGTGTTGTAGAGAACAGTTTAAATGTCATTTGAGTTAAAATGTTAATTGCCAGCTTGTTTGATTCGATTCCCTTCTTTATATTGGTCTTCTGATCATTTTATCGGTGTTTTCAGTCTACGTGGTGTGGAAATGACTTGCTGAATCACTGCTGATTGTTGTGGTGGGGGTGGCCTTGAGGGTCACTTGAGCCCCACTTATTTCTCTAGCCAGCAAGCCATCAGTGCCTGTGCTTTACATGAAGTGCTCTCATGAAGTGGTGGCCATGGAGTCAGCACGTGGAAGAGGTGCTGCTGGTAGGGCTCTTAGGGATGGAGAACAGTCGTAGTATTTGTCTTGGGAGATGGAAGACAAGTAAGAGTAACCTGTGGGCGTTTGCCAAGAAGTCAGTGGTCTGATTGTTTTCTGCCAGCAGTTTGTGGTGTCAGAGATGAGAGTCTGAGCTACTTCCGTGCATCCTCCAACCCTATTAACTGGTCTGTGTGTTGCTATCATAGGAAGTTCATGGCTTTGCGAGTGGTGAAACACTCATTAATAAGATTACCTGGCGTGAGCAAAGTTGGGGTGGAGGGGGAGGAGGAAGTCACTCTTGTTAGACCACAGTTCATCAGAACAACGTGGGGACCCACCAGGCTCTACTATTCTTTGTGGTCTCTTTGGTGTCCCCAACTTAGTCTGGGAGGTCTGGATGGCATGTTTCAGAGGTTGATGTTGAATGCAGCAGCTGCCCCCAGGTGACAAATGCTTACTGCAATCAAGTTGTCCTGTGCTGCAAATTCCACTGGCTCCTCTTGCCTTCCCAATCCCCACAGACGTTAGTCACAGCCTGGGTATGCTGTGGTACAGCACTTGGGTCTCCTGGAGATGATTTTGCTTTTCTTCACAGCCTGGTGCAGTTATACGCGTGCAGCTGGATTGTGTTTGCACGACTTGGTGAAGCTGTTGTGCTTGTTGGAGGGTACAAGGACAAGCTTGAACTGTTGGAGTGCTGACTGATAGTGCTTTTGTGGAGGAAGGAAGTAATGAAAACAGAAAAACATCTTATATACTGAGCAGGCGCACTGTCTGGATGGCATGTTCTCAACTGGCAAAATATTTTTATTTTGTTTGTGCATATTCAGATGGTGATCGCCTGATCTGTGCTTGAGATCAGGTATCGGTTGTAGTATTTGAGGTATTTAGCTACCTATGACACATACTTGAGCACAGAGCCACTGGAATCTACAAAGCAGTAAAGCCACACCAGATGCTCAAAGGTCAGGTGTGGAAATGAAGACCTGCCCTCAAGTATACCTTCAGCATTTCCTGCATTCTGTTTTTTCTGTGCATACGCTGAAATCCTCTGCCGGTGTGATGTTGTCAGTCAAGGACACGTTGTCTCACTGATTGTACATTCCCCCTCCCAGGACAGGGGAAACTGCACTTTCCAGGTGCTGCTTGTTTGACTTGGAGGCGGAGGTGCTGGGCACGTGTGACGGCAGAGTGACGTGCACTGCTGCTGCTGCGGCTGTGGAGGCAGCTCTGCAGTGGCATGCCCACTCAAATGGCTGATGCATGTGAATCTGTGAAGCGCCTGAGATTTGAGATTGCCACAGTATCTCAAGATCAGTACTCAGTTGTGGATATGAGATGGATGGGGCAAATCTCTTTGAAGAAAAAGGAAGCTCTTGACTCCAGCATATGTGGGGGAGTCGACGTATCAGATCACTTTTGAAGGAGGTTGTTTTCCAAAAGTTAGATATATTTTTTTCTGAAAAAGCAGAGCAAATGTCCGATGCACCCCATCCAGAAGTGACAGCATGGAGTATATCTGTACTCCCTTGCAGGTGGGAAAAAATTCCCCTGGGGAGGAATCAGGACCTTGTGGAACCTGCTGTGTAAAGCTGTGGTGTAAGTTTGTACTCACGCAGTTTAGCTGAAAAAGTCGTGAAACTCTTGGACAGGAGAGCACTCTCAAGTGATGGGGCAACAAGACATAAAGGGCAGAACAACTATACTTTATGGCTGCTGGAATTTTCTTTGCTTTTTCTTGGCAGTGGAGAGAGTGGTGCAGGGAAAACAGAGAGTACGAAGCTATTGTTGCAGCACATAATGAACCTATGCAAAGGCAACTCGCAGCTGGAGCAGCAGATCCTTCAGGTAGGTCATTACAGGATGGTGCCTGAAGATGCAGAAGCCACACCGCTGCAAGACAACTTGCGTTAGGCACAGGAAGCCTGCTGATGAATCACCACTGGAAGTCAGGGAGGAAAACATAAGACACATGAGAAAATAGTGGGTAAGGATGGTGAAATAGCTGACCATAAATTAGAAGGGTTGGTAGGTCAGTAATGCTGTTTGCTGGGAATGTAGTGGTATCTTAAATGATAGAAAACTATTGCAATCATTTATCATGTTCTTTGTGACAAGGGATTAGGGGCATTTTTCCAAATAATTTCCTGTTTGAGGTAGAACAAGGACTTTAATTAAAACAAAGTGTTGAATTAATGGTATACAGGGAGAGAGAATCCACACAGCCTTCAGTCAGCTTTCCTTGCCTACTTACACTTACCGTCAGGCACATTCCT